GAGTATGTGCGTTATTATTATTAATATTATATTTGTTGTTGGCTTATCTTTAGTTTATGGACGTGTTCGTATATTTATACGTGAGATTATAAACAATTAATGTTATTTGCATGTATATGGACCTGACGACGTAATTCGTTCCGGGGTACTACTCGGGACACTCAGCTCAAGACTACTTTAGAAAAGTTTAGTCCATAGATGTTAGAACTTGTTTTGATGATTTTGATGGAGTCTTTATAATACCTACCTCTATGTTAAATTATCGTGTCAAAGAAACTTATCGGCACTACTATAAAACAATTACGACATCGAAACATCAAAAGCTTTTTATCTATTCTATAACCAGACGTTTATGTCTAAATATTAGCTACCTGTAGCCTTTTGTATAATATAACATCAATAGTCCATTGTTCGGGTTCCAGCCAGTATTTTTAACGTGTGCTTTCGCCATATTGGATCATCTACATATATATACGTATAATGAAGTCGCATCTTGGGGTGTAAGGTTTCTTTCTTAGAAATTTGGATGTGGTAAATGAACTCCAAGTATCATTCGGTATTTCTTGGAACGTATTAAGAATATTTTGGCTGTGTATAGTGTTAATTATGAAAGGAAAACAAGCGTAGTTTCTTTATAAACGTGATAAGCTAAGATTGCGCTATAGTCAGAAGTACACTACTCTTTAAAGTATTCGTCTTCTAGTTGCTATCGTAAATGGTATAAAGTTAAAATTAAATCGTAATGAAGCCCATTGCACAACGTGAAGAGCACGTTAAGTTTCATACGTAAAGTTTAAATTCAACTTTATGCCGCTTACAATAAAAACAGTCCAATGTGTCAAGTGTGTTTTCAGGGAATTTGTGATTCGCTTAATGAATGTATAGTTCGGCTGCATATTAAAGAATACTATGGCGCGCCTCTTTAGGTAAAAGCCGTCTCAATAGAGCGCGTATAAATGTCTATGTGTTGGTGCTAGCTTCCACCAAAGACCCCAGAAACTAAAATAGTCTGGTACTATAACACATTTTCCATTATTTTCAAAGTTTTAAGCGACATTGTCAAACGAACCACAACCTATTTTCGTAGTGTCCTCATAATAATGAAAAGCGCGAGACGACCAGCGCTTTGCAACGCAAGTGCACCGCGAATGTATGCGTTCTGTACACGGCGCGCGGCAGACGCGCACACATCCAAGCCGCGCTGCTATAGTTGTATGGAGTTACCATACTTGTATTACTATACTACGTTATTTTTCAATAATTAACTAACTTTTTGTTGTGTCCACAAAAACTAAACATTTCCCAACTGGGAGCTAAGTGCCCTAACATTATTTTCTTGCGTCGCCAATAAAGTGATTTTTTATGGCCTTACATAGTTTTTAAAGCGCAAAGTTACAGATCTTATCAAAAAAGATTTCGACAAAATTAAAACCTTCAGATGTCAACGGCAACAATTAAAAGTAACAAATCGGAACGGCAACTTCCAAAACTCATTGTTTACCTATCAAATCAACCATTTGTCAACAGATTTCAAATTATAATTTAAAAAAGTGATTGTATCGAATCTCTTCTCGGAGGCCTTTTTTCTTTTTTTTCTGTCCAAACATTGAGGCGACAAAAACAAAAGTGACCACCATTGATGTTGTACGTTTATAGATATAATGTTTAGTTTTTGCCCTAGAAGAGGAATCATGCCTTTTATTGAAAAGTGATGATGCTCACCGATAATGTATAGAACCTGAGTTTTCTACTAATGCCAAGCTTCACTTCCTACAGATATTGATTATACCATTCCCATATCCTATATAACTTTAACCAAAGCTGTTAATGATACCGTGTTAGATATGTCATTATTGTCTTTTTATTCAGCTCTTTAGCTGGTTTTAACTACATTTAAAGACCGAAGCCAAGTAAATGCCGAACAGTGCATCTATATTGAGTATGTTGTGATGAGAGTTTATATCGTCTTCTATCTGCATTAACTTTCTGTCTAATTCGGCATGTATTATTATTACTGTCTGAGTACCTCTATAGTACACCTTAATGGATAAGGATAGAGGTTGTTATATGGGCTAAACTGCCAAGTCACTACCTGACTACTACATGCTAAGATGACATATAGTTATTGTCCCTCCTTACACCTCTCTGATATATTCGGGATCCTTGAGTATAATTTGTTGTTTAAAATATTTTTTTTTATTAAGGTGACATTATTATAGGCCAGTCGTGTCCCACTCCTGGGGAAAGGCCTCCTCTTTTTCCATTATCCCCAGTTTAAAGCAGCATCGGGTCACCGTTTGCTGCGTCTCCGTTTGGAGTTATTGGACTTTCACTCCGTGAAATTTATATTAAAATCCACAACACATTTCGCACGCGCCAAAGATACAAGTTAAATATCTTAATGAACTATTGTAGTCAAATACGAGCATGGCGGATCAAGATATGCTAAGTCCGAATCCGTTGATCCAAAACTGGGTTAGTATTGTTTTGATTCAGATCCATGATTCTAAGATCAATAGTTTCGATTCAATAATTGTATCCATTCCTACTTAACTTTAGGCTACGTTTTCATTGCTCAAAATTAGCGTGCAAGTTGCAGGTAGCAGAAAATTTACATAATCAAGTCAACAAAAAAATATTTAAAATCAGGGTTGAAATCAGTGCCAACTAATTTCTTCTTCTTCTTCTTTATTAGTGGCTTGTTTTGTGACTTTCACAATTCCGCCAATGTCACGTCGTAGGTAGCCTCTACACGGGAGGAGTGGATTTGTTTTCAAATATAATTTTGATCCTTACTGCTGTCTGTGAGACTCGAAGCGGGTTTATCTAAAATAAAGCACACAGTTGCAACATCACAGGACAACACAAAGCATAGCCTAATAAAACAGGGTTGTCCAACTAATTTCAACATTTCGCTGAGCCCATCCGTCATACACATACTTACTGTTTTTTTTTGTCTTTTTTCGTGAAATTATCTCATGTCTTTGAATTTTTGTATTTATCAATGTTAAAATATAAATAAATGGTTTAAATAGTGATGGGAGAGAACGCAGTTGCCTGTGTTTGGATTTGTCGACCAAGAGCCACAGAAAAGCGATGTAACCAGTGGTAGAAAAACATCAAATATTTAGGTCAACACTCAAGAACAAAGGCGACTGTAAAACCAGAAATAAAACTAACCCATTTCGCGCCAAGATGTCCAGTTCTGCACTCAGCATGAGATCGGTTATCTAATTGAACGTCCGTAATCTCCTCAGTGGAGCGTGTTCAGATTTAGAAATTGGGTCGGACGTGTTATTGTAGTGCAGCGAAATGCAGTGGGGATACTCTCTAGAACAAAAAAACTGGCAACGTACTGCCGTTATCAGACTTGAATCGCGTTTCTGATGTTCACGAGATTGGTTTAACTATGCTTCAGATCTTTGGCCCAGCAAGCAGCCACCTCTATGCCCCCTATCCATTTTCTTTAGCAGGTCTTCGCGTGTGCAGCTTGTCGGACACATTGAGCATGAGACCAAGTGAGACATACTTAGTATGTCTCATACTTTGTATTGAAGATCTGCAAACACAATGGTTTTGAGTCAGGTTAACATAACCCCAATTCACCATGGTGTCTCTACATACATCGGCGAACTGATTTTGTTTAGCAATAACACTTAAACTAAGATATAAAAAAACATCCGGTTATAGAGGGGGAAAAAATTAACACTAAATTAACCAATGGACACTACGTCATCTTAATTTTTGGTCCTGTTCTGCTTTATTGTTTCTTTTTTTTTTCACAAAATTTGTTTTTTGGTCCTTTTTTACCATAAAATTCGGATAGCATACTATTAGGAAATGAAACTTTTTTTCCAGATTTAAATCGCTTATATTTATTTTTTCAAACAAACCAACATTTCGGGCCCTTTACAGGTCCCACGGTTACGGTTGACCATATACGGTCAACTATGACCATGGCCCGAAAACCTAAGAACTCAATAGCATATACTATTATTAAATAAATATGGATGTTTGCAAAAATAACAGAAAATGACCAAACAATAAAGTAGTGTTAATTGGAGGTATCGATAAACAAATTTCGACTACGTTAGCGATGATGTTGAGGGCAATATAGTTGCATTACCTGCTTTATCATATAGTTGTCATACTGCTACAATATTGTATTGTCTACTGTACACACAATGTAAACGAGCTCTGTTTTATCTGAGGCCTTAAAAACTCTTTCCAATCAAATGAGCGTTGGTTAAGCGACTGCCCGTTTTTGGGGTTATTTCGTAAAAGCGTGAGTCTTCCGTCAAAATTATATTTTATTTTCTTGACCATAATGCCGTTTTTTCTTTATTTTAAACACGGACTGTATTTCATCCAATACTTGTCTACCATATTCTTAGAATAGTCTTGTGACAAGCAAAGGTATAGTGACATCGAAACGCAATGTTCTTCTTTCTATACATTTTTATAAGTGCCACACTTGCCACACTCAGGTCCTTAAATTGCAATTCTGAGACATGAGTTGAAAAATCCCATGTGCTTGTTATTTCACCGTTATCCTTTATAACCGGAACACAGTAATGAACACATTATCGCTTGGCGGCAGAAACACGTAAAGTGGCAGTACTTCCCTAGACAAACTCTTTCATATCTATGCTACTATGCAATTTCCGTGTTGCCAATTTAAGGAATTAGTTACAGAAGCTTTTCAAACTTAGAATTATTCAAATCTTCAATCTAAAAACATTACTAAATCTACTTCATCGATAATATGAGATAAAAAACAATAAACTAATTTAGTTCAGCTAAAAAAGATGCACAAAAAAGCAGGTAGCATAGCAAGTAAATATGGATAGGTTTCAACTTAAAAAATAACAGTGACGTCATCTTGACAGTGATCGATGAACTAACATCAAAATTGGCTAAATTAGTAACATTAACGTCATTTACCACGTTTATACCGCGAGCACTTGTATGGGGGTTAATTGATTATTTTTTGTTTACAGGTATCATCACGTTTTCGGTGCAAGATTATGATGTGAACAGGTATTTCTAAAGTATTTATTGGAGTTTTGGTTACATCTTTTTTTGTATATAAAAACTAGTGACGGGATGAACGAGTTGTGTGCCTGATAGTAAACGACACGCCTGTCCATAACAGTTGCAGTACTACTCAGAGCTTTAAATCACAAAGATCCGACAGCCTCCGTGGCCGAACGGTTACCATGCCGGACTGCCACGCAGAGGTCCCAGGTTCGATTTCTGGGCCGGGTGAAATATTTGTATGACCTACATTTATTTCTCTCGTGAGTTTGGGTGTAATTTGTGGTTGTGTATGTGTGTGTCCATGGCACCCGCGACACAGGGTTTCCCTAGTGCGGGGCTATGATGAGTGTGTGCGTTATTATATTATTATATATCCGAGAGGCACTGCCACTGCGCCCGACACCCTGAAACATAAGTTGAAATGTCCTATGTGCCTGTAATTTCACCAGCTCCTTTACGGTCGCAGAACTTTCCTGGAAGAACTCTTTCACAAGGAGCTCTGCGGTTAGTAAAAACTTTGCTTATCATATAGTTCCATAAAAATCCACTAGATAATATTGACCCGTTTTATCTAAATTCATGGCGATGTTAAGATTTTTTTTCTCAAATGGCGACTATCGACGGAGTTTTTATTGTGTGAGAGAAATATCGGTACTATTATGTGGGATTGACTGTTTGGACCGATCTGATAGTTTAAATTTAAACTTTTGCATTATACTCATAGTACTGTCGGTTGCAGTTAACCTGGCACTTAGTAAATTCCTTGAAATAAAACTTGGAGCAACGGTCTTGAAGTTTTTACTATTTTTTGTGTTGCAACAAATAGTAGGTAAGTACCTATTTCTGCCGCCAAGCCGCAATGTGAGCATATCGTTGCGTAGCGCTGCGTTTCGGTTTTGAAGAGTAACGGCGCTAGTCAAATTACAGGCACATCGGACTTGTCAACTTAAGGACGGCGCAGTGGTAGTGTCCGTCAGATCTTTGCGATTTAAAACTCTGAGTGGCAAACTGCTGTGGACAGGTGTGTCGCTTAACCACACGACTTGTTCGTCCCGTCACCTGACATAAAAAAAGTGACTTAGAAAAGTCTATTATATAAAATAGGTTTCTGACATAAGCTTATAATATTCTGCCTGTCATTTCAATATTTTTCTCAGGGAAAATAAAGTATACCAGCAAAACCAAATGACTTGCACTCTGTGCCTCCAGGCCTGTCGTTTCTATAAAATCGCGTCTAACAGCCCATTCACAAAGGAACTAAAAATGTTACCTAACTCGCTAAAGACCACCTTTAACCCGTCGAGTACTGTAGGCGTGCCGTAACACTTCTAACGTAGTGTCAAATTAATGAGCCGAAACAGTGGGGCCATTGTGACCTCCTTTTGTTGACTTGTCTTCTTTATTGTTTGGTGGAAGATTGGATGTATTGCGACAAAATTTATGATTTTGCAGATGTAAGATATTTTTTTATCTATAACAATAGACAAAACGCGTTTTCCCTTTTAATACGTGTGAACGTAACAAACAAGTTGACGAGAAAAGTTCTGCAACTTCATTCTGAATTTTTTCTGAAATTTATAAGTTTTGCCCATTTCTATTGAAACGGGCAACGTGTCCAGATTTATAAAAAAAATGCTCCACCACATCTACCTCAAAAGCAAGCTACCATAGGCTATTCACTGACTGTGTTGAAGAACGCTACAATGTAATCAGGCAGTTTTAGTAACAGAGAATAGGCTCCTCAGAAAGTAACTTTTGGGAACATCTTCTAGTCGATTACGTGATGCCCACGCAGGCCTTTTTGTTAAAAAATTAAGTGCGCAATTGACCTCCATCTTACCTAATTAAAAGTGGCGATGAGGTCGAGAATGGAGCATGCACTCGTAAATAATACCTATTCACTCTCCTTTTGAAAAGATCCAAGCTATACGGTTCAGGGAACAATTCCACTCTATAGCCGTTCGCCATATAAATGTGGAAGCGAAACTCTTCGTGCGAATCCTTGGAATATCCACTATATAGGGGTTCCTACAATTAGAAACTTGAATATAATCAAATGATATCTTAGTACAGCGATTTTTTAAATGAAGATTCCGCTCGACTCTTAATACTTGAATATTTCATTACATATGCTCCGTTTTTTTTGATTGCGCAAGAAGATTTTGCGGTCGATAATCTAATCCAACATCTTGAACTTTGCGATGGGCGTTGCAAGACAACCATTTGTTCTTGTCTGTATTGTACCAAATCACCGTGTTAAGTAAGAAGTTAGAAAATTTCAATTGAAAATGTGTTAGGTAATCTCTATTGTATCTGGAGTGGTATTTAAATGTACGAAATGGGCTGTCAAGGCCATGTGGAGATATTTTAACTGGTAATTTCGAAAGATGTACTATTAACAAAATCGACGCGTTTCCAGTTTAAGGTTTCATTTTACATGTAGGCAACGGTGTGCAGTATGTTTTTTCTTGTCAAACGGCATCAAAAGATTGTCACAAAACAGTTACAATAAAATAAAAGACAGGGCTAGCTATAATCACAATAGAAAAATATAATTCGCAGATTCACGTATTTTCCTACGTTTCCATATAATTTTAGAAGTATTTTGACACTTACCTGACGGCGGATTTTATGGCTTTTTTTTTGTGGTGACCCGGAGGAGTCTGTTTACAAATTCTGTGAAACTGGGCTGAACCCTGAAGGGGAGCACTAAACCCCGGAGTGTTCCTCCTCTCCGCTGTAGAGGTACGGGTACGCTATTGCACTCGTTCGCGCCCCCACCAGCGGCTGGCCGCTTCCTGCGCAGTCCCTTCCCGAGAAGGGAGACCCATCGGTCCCGCGACTTCGAATCTGAAGCTCGCCGAACACAGACGAACCTTCCATCCCGGACTCCTTTATGTTGGACAAAGAACTCCTCCGAGTCCGCTACTCAGGGGTCATGGGGGCCAGGACAGCATCCACTCAACTGTGAAAACGTAATGCCCTCAAATCACATTTCCACCGTGTCAATTCATGATACACTTACTTATAAATTAAAGAGACTTACACATTTTTCGTTTTTTTTCTTCTCAGGGGAATTTATTTTATGCCATCGCCTCGTTTTATAGCTCGTAACCTTTCGATATAGCTCCGTTATCGCGCTCTTGTATTAAACCTTAACAACCCACGTCCTGATTTTTGCAACATTGCGTTTTTATTTTGTGAAATCGGTCTTATGTTTGTTCAATTTCCTTTATGTATGTTAACTATTGTTACTTTATTAGAACAAAATTCTCCCCCGATTTCTTCTACTCGTTGTTTAGAGCCTTAGTGAGTTCACACCTGAGTTGAAGGTCAGCAAAGTCTGTCAGTAATTCTCAAATAACTTTCACTTCACTTTTTATTTTTATGGCTCCATCAATATGAGAACTGATGATTTTGCCAATGTCACAGTTGAAAGAAAAAAAAACGAAACAAAAAAAAAAATTTTCGCTAAGCTCTAATAGGACATTAACCGGTGTTGGTAAGTTGGACTACGGGAGTACTCAGTTGAGAATGTAAAACAAAACAGCAAAACAATATTTATAAATATATGTTATTTAAGTGGATAAATTTACATAGAGTAACAATATGGGGGGAGAACACTAAAGTTAAGAGGTTGTTTATGTTAACGGGGCGGGGGAATTTTGGAGAAAGTAAGTTATAAAGTGGAACAGCAATATTAGGACAATTGAAAAAAATGTGTTCCAAGGTACCGTCTTCTAGGCCGCACTCGCACAGAGAGTGATCTCGAACTCTGATTTTACGCAAAAATACAGGTGTGCAAACATGGCCTAAGCGCAAACGAATAATAGTGGAAGTGATGTTTTTAGGCAAATCGCGACGTTTAAAAAACCAGGGTTTAGTGGGTAGATTTGGTTGGAGATTACCATAGTGTCTACCAACAGTTTGTCGTGATTCCTGCCAAAGGGCCGACCAGGAGGCTAGCATTTGGGGTTTAGTCATGGCGAGCAGATCTCTGGGAAAGCACTTACAGTATTTGCACACGCCAATTCTTGTCGCATCCTTTGCAAAGGCGTCTACTGCTTCGTTGCCACTGATCCCAGTGTGACCGGGAATCCAGGCCAGAGTTACCTCAATTCCCGCACAATGACATCGGTACAGAGCTTCCTTAATTTGGAGGGTGATGGAGAAATTGTCTTTGGAATGAAACGGTAGCTTAATAATGTCTTGGAGGCAACTTAGTGAGTCTGAGAAAACCAAACATTTATTAATTTTATGGGACTCAATATATAAAATGGCTTCGAGTATTGCAATTGCCTCTCCCGAAAAGACCGAATTCAGATAGGGGGATTTAAAACTGAGTACGACATTGAACTTGGGGAACCAAACCGCGGCTCCCAAGTCGCCATGTTCGTGTAATTTTGAAGCGTCGGTAAAAACAGTAGTCCAGTCATGCCATTCTCTCTCAACTATATCGTTGAAGACTTGGTTTGCTCCAGGGGTATCTTTCATGATGCCAAAACTAAGATAGACTGTTGGGCGAAACGTTAAACATTTAAAATCAGTTTCAAACAACGGGTTCATATAATTTTGGTAAATAGGGAATGGGAGATTGGAAATTTTGTTAAAACTGTTGATAAGAAGGGGGGGTTTCTTGTGTGACCAATAATTGGAGGAAGGGATAATCTCCGACAGGGATTGCAATACGGGAAGCAAAGGGTGAGAAGAATATTGAAAGATCTTGAAGAGGAATCTATTAGCAAGGAATTGTCTACGTAGATGTAGAGGGGGCTCCAGACATTCGACTTGAAGAGCGTTTGTTGGTGAGGATTTCATGGTACCTGTGATTATTCTCAGGCATCTTGCCTGGATTCTGTCCATCTTAGCCAAGGCTATTTTGTTGCATGGTTCCAGAAGGAAGCCGCCATAATCAAAATGACTTCTAATGATTGCGTTGTACAGGAGCTTTTGGTTATACGGATGTGATCCCCAACGAACACCAGAAAGTGCACGTAGGA